TTCAGTAGATCTCAGGTTATACCTGTTTATTTTTTAAAGTATCATGGTTGAGAACCAGTGCCATGAAGATCGCTTCCAAGTTCACCTTCTGCCTTCAATTCATGTTGCTGCCTGCCACCAAGTACAGAGGCCTGCCCTTTTGGCAAGTTACACAAGCTGTCTTGCCTCAGTTTCCGCATCACAACTCCAAACTACTGCTGTGAGCATTAAATGAGTCATATGTAAAATGCTCAGACTAGTGCTTTGCATGTGGTAAGTACATGTGAGTGTTAACTATTACTGCTATTTTTTGTATTATCGTCACTGCCAGGGCAGCTTAGGCCAAGTGACCAAGCCATTTGTTCCCCATTTTTAAGTGGGGGATCCCTTCAACATAGAAGTAGATCACAGACCCATGAACTCTGTACCTGCTGAGCAATTTATATGACAAAAACATTACCGTGAATTCAAATAAGTTGTATTTTACTTATTTCGGCAGCATCTATATACAGTTAAGTCATTCTTTCTATTCAATACAAAGACAATGCTTAGCTTCCCTATAGATGTGCAGACCCCTGCAATCAATCTGAGCCTCGCCCCCCCCGCTGGTTGTGACCCACTGCTCCAGCCACATCAAGCTGCCTTGTACCCTCTCAACATGCCACCCATCTTCCTAACTTCCTGCCCTACACACTGTACCATCTACCTCAAGTGCCCTTCTGCTTCTCTACCTAGAGCATGGAGTCATGAATGTTAACAAATTCATCTTAATCCTCTGGGCTGAGCTTTTCCTAGAGTTGGTTAGTGAGGAATGGAAGGTGAGCCACACCATCCAAGTAAGTACTCTGCTCATTAACAGTAACAATGAACTGGTGTGAGGTTTTTGGTTTTTTGTGTTTTGTGTTTTGTGTGTGTGTGTGTGTGTGTGTGTGTGTGTGTGTGCGTGTGTGTGTTTAACACATAGGTTAGAGTCAGGGAAGGTCAGGATGGGATGCAATGAGAGGGAGCTGTTTCAGCAGAGGTCAGGCGACTGAATGGGGTGTCTGTGGAAGCCGCAGCCAGACCTCAGGAGCATCAGAATGTCAGCTGATGCTGACATTCCAGGAGGACACATCAGCTAGGACCACCGGGCACCGATCAAGCCGAGAGACACAGATCCAACCGACACTAGGCTCCACAGTAACAGCACACCCCAGCCACACTTCAGGGGTCACTAGGCAAGATCAGTGCGGATGGGAAAGGGCCAACCTGACAGGCAAGCCTGGTCTGCTAGGGTCAAGGGCCCACACCACTCACCATATCCCCAGGGGCTGTCTTGCTGAGGAGCAAGGAGAGGGCGCAGAGAGACTGAACCTTTTTACCAAAATATACTCAACAGCTAACAAGGAAACCTTTTAAATTTCCTTATTAGAGTCATTTTACTGAATTAGGCTAAAACTATGGGGCTTCTCTTTTCCTTCTTTCTGGCTGTCCAGCAGGACAGAAGCTCATGTGGACAACACAACGCTTAGAGAAAAATGAAGTTACCTTTTTCCTTCCCTGCCTGATTGCAGCATAAGTTAAATTTTAGCAATCTTCTATGACTCTTTTAACAGCAGCATAAGTGTTAACTGCCCTGTAATTGGTAGAATATAGTTTCATGTATCAAGGTTCACAGACTCTGTTATTCAGAGCACCACCACTCCCACCCCTGGGCAAGCTGGGAGGGCTGTAATACAGGCACTTGAATTAAAATAGCCAAGCTCCCGCACAGCCTAAATTCTCCAAGTCAGTGTTAGACACAAGCGGGTCTTACTCGTCCTGGAGGAATTATTAGGCTGCCTTTCCCTA